TGCCATGTAGTTGGACAGCCTTTTGACACGGTGGTACAGGCAGCTCTTGTCCAGTCAAACAGGGGTATCCTTGTGGCGTCGAACGAAAGAGAGTGTCAGTGTATCTGACTCGTCAGATTGGAACTGTGCTGAACTTTTCTCTTTCTCCGCTTTCTGCTTTCATCCCTCGCTCTGATGAAACCGTTCAAACGTCTTACTGGCAGCAATGGCCAGCCTAACAGGGGATCCTTGTGGCGTCGAACGAAAGAGAGTGTCAGTGTACCTGACTCGTCAGATTTGAACTGTGCTGAACTTTTCTCGTTCTGCAATTTCTGCTGTCATCCCGCGCACTGATGAAACGTCTTCAGAGAACCACAAGACGCTTTCCAGATTTGATTTTGAACGTCTCCTTATCCTCCTTGGTTACCTCGTGACAGATTACTGTCAGCAACTTCACAGCAGAACTGGCAGCCATGGCTGAAGTGAAGAAAGGAATGCGCTGCCACCAGGCAAGCAAAACTGAAAATGAATTGTTCTTTTTCGGGCACAACACACAGGACAGCGTGACTGGATAAAACTGGACTCCTGGACTGTGAATAGGGGACTGGTAGAAAAAGTGTACTCCTTATAGGGGATTGCGCGGCAGGTTGAAGCTGATCAAAACTGAGTGGACTCCTGGACTCTGTATAGTGGATTTTGGACCAATGGACTCTATATAGGGTGCTGGACATCATATAGTGCATGGACTCTATACTGAGTCCTACACATATACAGGGACATGTACTGTACGTATACAGGGACATGTACTGTACATATAATTATGATGATTACTGTACAATCATGTACACCATACAACTACATGTATATGTAGCTGTGCCGATCACTACAACTGCATGTATTTACATGTAGAAGCAAAAAGTAACAATAATAAAAGCACCCCCCACCCCCCTTGGCTGCATCTTCTTGCATGTGTACCTTTATCCATCGCCATGGGTTCTGGTACTTCTGCATGACAGGTACTTGAAGTAGCTGTCAAAAGCCCAGAAAGTCGTTATTCAAGCAGTGGATATGACCTCGGGGCACTAAAAGCTTGTTGTTATTCACGAATTGTCGTTATTCAGATAGTCGTTGTATCCGAAATTAAATGTATACAGTTAGATGGGACTTTGCTCTGGGCATGGAAATTCTGTCGTTATTCGCGAATTGTCGTTATATCCGCAGTCGTTATTAGCCAAGTTGACTGTACTTGTGAACCACTCTATCACCACTGCCGTGTTCCTCCATGCATTGATCTGCAGCTGGGGGCGGAGCTGTTTTAGAGCGGTATCGAGTATGGACTTGGAGACTATGCCAATCTCACTCTTTGAGGGATTAATGAGCCGGCATGGTAGGGACCGGGAAAGGTGTCCTTAGGAACCTTCAGCGTGATGTATGCGTCCTTCTTTGCCTTGCGTCCCATCTGGCGTCCAGCTCCAGAGTACGTGTACACCCCCAAGGTTTTGAGTAGTGAGAAAGATTCTACTTGGTCCGCGTCATCAATATTATTGTCGCTTATCTTTCAGCTTGGTTTATATGTCGGGGATGCTCACTTGGCAGCCCATTTCATCCCATTAATGGTTAGTAAGTTAGTTTACTAGTACCTGAAAGGTCTAGCTAGATTTGGAGTTGATTTCGAGAGCGACGGGTGGGTGATTCTGATTGATACCACGCCGCATAAAATATATTTTCTTGTCACACTGCACAGGTAAGAGCAGCGCGACGCACAATAAAGTAATCGGCTACTATACTCGAAATCAGTTCCATTTTGCAAAACGGCTGAGAAGGCTCACCTCGGGGATCGCTCGACAAGCTGAGATCGTAGTTCCCTCACCTCCAGCTCAACGCTCGGAGTATCCAGCGCCCGTGGAGATTTACTCAGTACTGTACGCGTCGTCGTCGTTCAATATAAAATCTTGCAAAGAACGGCGACTGATTTGAACCACACAGGTAGTCGTGTTGCCCACGCGAAGTCATATAGAGAAGGCAACCGTCACGATCGACTTCCCTTTAGAAAGTAGCCAGGCAGCGGAGAGGAATAGAGATGAGCTTGCAAAAGCGAGAGAGCAATCCAGAGCCGAGAGCAGCGACGAGGAGGACCAACAAAAGTATGAACACTTCCTTGGACAATACATTCCTCATGGCTAGTTGTCATTCTATACCTTACCTTCTATCGTACCACGTTTTATCACCTCAAGTGCACACGTTGTTGTCCAAAGTCTAATTTCAAATTGTCGAAAGATAAGCGACAATATTGCTGATGCTGACCAAGTATCTAAATGTACATTGCCAAGGTTTTGAGTAGTGCTCAAACGAGCACTCTATGCTATCGAACGAGTAGTGCCACTATCGAGTTGAGTACCCTATAACACAACCTAGTCGCTCTAATGTGCACATTCCCAGCACGCCAACTTTAGCTTCAAATTGAGCACACATGTTCATTGTACAGGGTAGGTCAAGTTTCGCCCAAAGTCAGTGACATCTCTCGGACTGATTTTTCTCTCTTTCACTTGCATCTACATAGCTAAACACTTCCAGTAATAGAGGCACAGCTCTCAGGCGCATACGCAGGGTCACCTCTAGGGGGGTTTCCAACCGAATCCCAAACAACCAGTAACAAAGTGTGTGTAAGTGTGTTAGTTTTAACCCTTCCTAAAGAGCCGTAGGAAATTTTCAAAATTATGCATTTTTTCGTGTTGTTTGGATCATAACTTCAGTTCTACTCACTCAATCTTCATTATATTGGGCTTCCTGGAAGTGGAAAGGTATCAGGGAGAGAATGAGGTCGACCATGATAGCCAGGACACAGTACAGTCATATACATATCCAGCGCTATAGGCTATAGCGGTAGAGTGCAGCGACGGTGCGAAAAATGCCCCAAACAGGCCCAAACGCGTCCTGCTCCAGCGATTTCGTTTTTCTTGATCGCAGAGTTTCGACTTTTTCCTGTGTACTCTTGAAAATATCACAAGGGAAGCCCCTGCAAATTTGAGCAAATCAGCGTGACGAAAATCTCAAATTCTCGATTCTCAAGTCGCACTGCGCGCTTTTGAAATTGCCAAGATCGCGGCTCAATTTAGGAATGATTTATCTCACGATACATTGCTCGCAGCGCTTCACAAATTGTTTTAACCGACAGCTGAGAGTTTTCTATTCGACCTGGATATTTGGATCGTTGGATTTGAGCGAGATTTGACTGAGTTACGATCTTTTGAAGTTTTGCATTCTTGCCAGATCGATCATGCGCCCTACCAATAAATGCCCAAAAACGTTGCTCGTTTGGAACATTTGGGGGGTTTACGGGCAACGGGAACCCCCCCCCCCCCCCCCCCCCTGCGTACGCGCCTGGCTCTGACTTCGTCGAGAGGAACTACATAAATAGACTTTGTCAGTTTGTGCTGCACAAAAAAGTCATGACAGCATACATTCCTCTACTATACGTGTATGCTATCGAGTATCGAGCCCCTTTTGAATTCAAGTCAAGTACTCAGCGAGCGTGTACTCGAGTACTCGGTGTATTCCTTTGAGCACTAGCGTTGAGAACTGGAAAAGCTTTCTATCTACATGTACCAGGCTGTAACTGTTCTTCTATCATGACATCATGACACTACGGAGAATTAGCAAGACGGAATCCGCGTTCGTGTTCGCACTCCAAGCAAAGTCGAACTCAGTGATGGAATTTTGCATTGAGAAGGATTAGCAAACAGAATTCACACATGCATGACGTTGACACGTCGTACATTGCTCACAGACAGTACGGCATTGTAAATTGATGACTGTCCTGACACGAATCCGCGATTTGTGTTTCGACTACTTTTCCAAACGAAAAATGCGAAAGTTTGCAATCCAGTTTGCGAACCGAAAAATGTTCGTGAACACGAATGCGAATTTCGTCTTGCTAATCCTCCGTATTGTAGGTGTCTCTTTCCCCGCTGCTGCTGCTGCTGCTGGTGCTGCTGCTATGGTGCGTATTTATGTTTTGGAATACAGGTGGTGGAAGGTGGAGCTGCCCAGCCCGTTCGTCGACGCTTCCACGACTTGCCGACATGGCTGGAGGCATGGACTCTCTTCATGAACATCGTGTGTTCTGCCAACCCGCCTGCAGGAGATGCTCTCATACCAAGCCACCATTGTTGCAGCCAACAGGCAATACTATCCGGAGGCTTGGCTGTCGTACGACACCCAGTTTCGCTCTGCCATTTCTGCTCAGCCAGGCAAGCGCTTTGACGTCATCGACATCAATCTGTGGCAAATGTCCGTGACTAGCCAATCAAGGCCCACATGTGAGTCCTGCCGCCTCGTCCATCCCGGAGGCGGCCAGTGTCCCTTTCTCCGCAACGTAACAACCAGCAAGCCTTCAATGGGGTCCGTACGGTGTCTAATGGCCAACCGATCTGCCGGAACTTCAACGCTGGGCGTTGCAGTCTCAGCAGGTGCAAGTACGCCCATGTCTGCACCCGCTGCGGGTCCAAGGACCACAACGGATCTAAGTGCGGTAGGCGCCAGTAACTGTGCTGCTTTGGCTGCAGCTCCCGCGATTGTACATATTTCTCCCTGCACTTCACGTTCCACTGATTTCACAAGCGCATGTCCTGCTGTCCACACGCCCTCTCTGTTTCTCGCTTCGAATCACTGCTTCGTAACCACCCTGACAGTTCATTGGCTTCGTATGTTATTAACGGCCTCCGCTGCGGCTTTGACATTGGCTTTACCGGCAACCGCATAACTAACCAACACTAGTCCAACCTCTCATCAGCATTCCAGCACTCTGCATTTGTGTCTGCACAGCTCACCGCTTCCTGCAACGCCGGCTACACGGCTGGCCCATTTGACTCGCCCCCATTCTCATTTATGTACTGCTCTGGCATTGGCGCCGTTCCGAAAAAGAATGGCAAGCTACGCTTGATACACCACCTGTCCAGCCCTGCCGGCTCCAGCGTTGACGACGGGATCCCTGCTGAACCTTTCTCTTTGCAGTACATCAGCATTGATGAAGCCATTAGCATCATTATGTCCTCCCCGTCTCCTGTCTATCTCTCTAAACTCGATGTGAAGAGCGCTTTTCGTCAAATACCTGTCCGCCCACAGGATTGGCATCTCCTAGGCATCCTGTGGCAGGGTAAGTACTACTACGACCGTGTCTTGCCATTTGGGCTTCGCTCTAGCCCAGCGGTATTTGATGCAGTGGCAGCCACCATCGAATGGATAATGCACCACGAATTCTCCATCCCTAAATTGCTGCATTTCCTGGACGACTACTTGTGCGTGAGCGTGGGCCAGGCAGTGGCGAATCGGCAGCTGGCCATTCTTCTCCGTGCATTCTCATACCTCGGAGTCCCGCTCGCGCCTGCGAAGGTGGAAGGCCCGTCTCGTACCCTGACATTCCTGGGCATTATCCTGGATTGTGAGAAGATGGAAGCCCGGCTCCCTGACGACAAATTGGCTGACATCAAGCGCCTGTTGACTGCAGCGAGCATCAACCCTACCATGTCTCCCTCGAACTCGAATCTCTTCTGGGGAAACTCTCCTTCGCTGCAAGAGTCATCGTACCCGGTCGGACATTTATGCGGCGCCTGTGGTCTATTTGCAGTCGCTACCAGCAGCCTCACTACCGCATCAGTCTGACTACCGAGTGCCAGGAAGATATCCAATGGTGGCTACGGCTCCTGGAAGAATGGAACGGAAAATCATTCTTCCTGTTCCCAGATTGGACACCATCTCCAGACTTGGAGCTGTTCACTGATGCCAGTGGCACCCTGGGCTGGGGCGCATTCAACAGCGGCCGCTGGCTTCAAGGGACCTGGTCGTCTGAGCAACTCGCTCACAGCATTGAGTGGAAGGAGCTCTACGCGTTGGTCACAGCGTGCTGCACGTGGGGCAAGGAATGGCGCCAGCTTCGTATCACAATGCACTGTGACAACAAGGCTGTGGTAGATTGCATCCGCTCCGGCACATCCAAGTCACCGCCAGTGATGACCCTGATCAGGGAGCTGTTCTTTGTGTGCGCCCGCTTCAATTTCACCGTCGCTGCTGCTCACATTGCTGGCCAGTCTAACTGCATTGCCGATTCGCTGTCTCGTTTCCGCATGGAGGAATTTCGGCGTCTCGCCCCAGCTGCTCAAGCACAACCAGACCAAGCAGTGCTGCCATTCCAGTCGATGCAATATAGCCTTGACATACAGGTACCGATTGTCATTGCTAAATTGTCGTATTGAGAACCTGCGTTGGATTTCATCCATCTGCATGCCTACCTTTATCCATCTCGTGCCTTAATTCACTTGTTCTGAGCTCTCGTGCATTGGTGGTGAACGCTTGCTGGGGTGCCGTGTGCTGGTTTTCTGGGAACAGCTTCCTTCAACTGGTTGCTTTGCTGCTACTATCTCTGCTTAAAATTGCATACTATTGGTCGGCTGTTTGCGACGCCAATCAGTAGTCATTGCACCCGGTCGTGGGTACTATTGCCGCTCAAGCATGAGCGATTGCTTTGGCCGTTTGCAACGCCAACTGCTTCACCCTGGTTGGCTGTTTGCAACGTCGATCAGGGAACTTTGCACCCGGTCGCGGGTACTGCTGCGGCTCAGTCGTGAGCGATCACTTTGGCTGTTTGCAACGCCAATCGCTTCACCAGTTGATCGAAACCAGCACACTGGTGTACCCCAATCATCCTTGTGCGGTGTTGTGAGAATACGTGGGTATGCATGCAGCTTTGCTCTGTGACTTTCCATTGCATGTAGTCACTTGGCTCTCCCATTTCCTATACACTGTTCTGATGCATTCGGGTGCAAGCGCTAAGGGGTGTTGGCCACGCTCATTTCCGGACACTCAGGGCTATGGGTCATCGTCCTGCTGACATTTCTAGACTCTCTTGGCTCCGCCAAGATCCTGCTCCGGCGGTCGACAAGTGTCAGACTCTCTTGGCTTTGCCAAGATCCTGCTCCGGCAGTTGACAAGTCTCTCGTGGATTCTTCTCCGGCAGTGTCCACCCTGCCGACCCTGAATCTCTCTCTATGTAGCCTCTCACTCCGCTGGCCAGCACTCCCTCGTAGCTCAAGTCGCATTTTGTTGTAGTTTATATGTGTGTGTGTGTGTGTGTGTGTGTGTGTGTGTGTGTGCGTGCGTGTGCGCGTACATGTTTGTGTGCATGCAGTCATGCGTTGTGTGTGTGTGTGTGTGTGTGTGTGTGTGTGTGTGTGTGTGTGTGTGTGTGTGTGTGTGTTTGTGTGTGTCCCATATGGTGCAGTGGTATGTGCAGCGATTTCCAATCGATAGGTTGCGGGTTCAATTCCCGACAATTATGGTCACACACGTCATTCTTCTGTTTCTTAGACTACTCCTGACTTTTCTTTCATTCTCCTGGGTGGTTACCAACAGCCAGTGCATGCCGGAGTATGTGGTGTGATGTGTGTGTGTGAAAAAAAAGCAAAAAAGATAAAGATCCGAAAGTAGGGATTCACTGGCCAGAAAAAGCCACTTCATAACTGTGCGGTGTAGACCAGGCTGAATAGTGGCGGTCAATTCTTCAGCCTTGCAAGCAGTTGAATGGTGCAATCCCAGCACAAGCTGCTATGGCTTCTGCTGTAGCATTCGCTATCATCGCCTCCGGCGATGGGCGTCAAATGGTCAAATGGTGTGTGTGTGTGTGTGTGTGTGTGTGTGTGTGTGTGTGTGTTATGTGTATGTGTATGTGTGTTTGTGTGTGTGTTTGTGTGTGTGTGTGTGCCATATGGTGCAGTGGTTTGTGCAGCGATTTCCAATCGATAGATTGCGGGTTCATGTGTATGTGTGTGTGTTTCTGTGTTATACATCTGCTGCTTTTCTTTAGACTTGGTGTACGGTTGGCTCATCTCATAGTCTAACTGACATACTTCGATCAGTGCTTTCAAAGAGAACATCTCCTCTCGCAGATAGAGTCCTTCTAGACCAGAGGTAAGCCACAATGCAAATTTGGGTCTGCAGGTGCGTGGGCGCGCGAGCGCGCGGGTGTGTGTGTATGTGTGTCAGCTAGTTCGGTAATCAATGGTGCTAGTGAAGCTTATATCAGATCCACTCTGATTTAGTCACCCACACTAGTAGCAAGTATTACCTTCACTGGGGTCAGGGGTAACTGCAGTTGGATCCCAGGACGTATACTCTGATGCCGTCAATCCTTTTTCTGCACCTTGTCCTTACCCACTTACTGAGGTGTGGTGAGCCCATAAGTGGGATCATTTTCAAGTCCACCCAGAGTTTTGGGGATTTGAGGGGGTGTCGGCTGTTGGGCGGTTCAATAGCCAATTGAGTCATCTTTCCAAGATTCCTTTTGAGTCTCTCTTCCCTCTCCCGGGGAGACCCACGTGACCAGTTTTGGCAGTGAGCAACAAGCACAAGTACAAGTGTGTGTGTGTGTGTGTGTCCCATATGGTGCAGTGGTATGTGCAGCGATTTCCAATCGATAGGTTGCGGGTTCGATTCCGGACGATTATGGTCACACACGTCTTTCTTCTCTTTCTCAGACTCCTCCTGACTTTTCTTTCATTCTCCTGGGTGGTTACCAACAGCCAGTGCATGCCGGAGTATATGGTGTGATATGTGTGCGTGAAAAAAAAAGTAGTGATTCACTGGCCAGAAAAGCCACTTCATACCTGTGTGGAGTAGACCAGGCTGAATAGTGGTGGTCAATTCTTCAGCCTTGCAAGCTGTTGAATGGTGCAATCCCAGCACAAGCTGCTATGGCTTCTGCTGTAGCATCGCTATCATCGCCTCTGGCGATGGGCGTCCAATGGTCCAATGGTGTGTGTATCATTATGGTGATAATTAGGCAGATTAATGGGTGCACGCAGCTTCGTGCTACCGCTCAAACTATGCTGCTATGTTTGCTGTTGCTGTATACTCATGCTTTCCTACTGTCTACGGTCGTGTGCACTGCACTTCACAGTGACGAAGTCGGCCAAACAGCATTGTGCATGCGCGCGTGGTACTCTAGGTGACGTGACACTCTCCGTGCCATTGAACGTGACATTCACCGTGTCGGCAACGTGCGACGTGGCATTTGCCATGGCATATACCGTAAAGTCCGCTGCAAACGCCCACCCCATTTTTGCAAGATCTGCTGGCCTATATGCACTGACCCCATGCACTTTCACCCCTACTGTACGAAAGTGCATCTCACACCGTAGCGCGAGGAATGCTTTGCTACGGTAAACTATGTCCATTTTCTGGGTTTCAAAATGTTTTTGGGCACTAGTTACGAGCTAGCTCCTAGTGATTTTATGATGTTGGTTGTTAAATTTCGAAAATCCAAACGGGAGTTGCTTCGGAATAAACAGGTGAGGTAGCGAAGAACAGACTATTGCAGGAACCAAATACACTTCTGACGGTGTTTCAAGCCATCATTTCCAAATCACGCAAAGCGCAATGGCAAGGGTTTTTCTCGAGCACTTCAGAGTTTTCAACAAGTTAGCAGCGACTTTGTAGGTGTAGCTTCTGTGACATCCCCCCCCCTGTTCGACTTGCAACTGCAATACTGCGACCGGTCAAGTCGTTGAATGACGCTTCGTCAGAACAATCACCGTTCCATTCTGAAAGCGCGACATCGTGGCAATGCAGAAATTTTATGATTTGAAAACCAGATGGATTCTACGGCATTACTTCATGAAGAACGAACTAATAACAAAGACAACTCATTCATCGTGTTGAGTTCGAAACAGGACGACTGACGACACATTATCCAGACATTACAACGGGAACAGGTAGGTTGGGGGAACGACATTTATTATAGACGACGAGACAAGAGACCAAGACGAACGAAACGACTACATTGAAGAGTGAGAAAAGAGAGAATGAAAGCAAGTCTGAACGGCAAGATGAAGGGCCTGGGTAGCTATGGCAAATATGGGCGCGCAAGTAGCTACCCAGGCCAACGGAACAAAAGGAGACAAAAGGTGAGTACGCAGGTGCATGCAGGCCAGCTAGAAAAGGTACGGGAGGAGGTACCTAACATACCACCCCTCCATGAAAAAAATCCCGCGTCCTCGCGGAGAGAAAAAAAGAGAGAAAAAGATTTAAAAAAATGACTGAAGGAGAAAAAACACACACACACAACGCACGGGCCTCACAAAAGTGTGTACTAAAAAATGCACTACAGATCATTACAAGCGTCAACGTTCCTGTACTACTTATACTATAGTGTGTACATGTACATTGCCAATAACAACGGGCCCAAACGCCCCTTCAAAACATGGCACCAAAAATAACTATTGGAGTTCGACGAGGGACTTGAATTGTATTCTGATGACTAGTATTGTGCACGGCTAATAGAGCCTAGTTACTCTTCAATATACGACATAAATAAGAGAGCGTGGCTCACCATGATCGGACCCCTAATATTAATGAAGGACAACCGCGCGCGCACACACACTACAAAAAAAATTCACGAAAATAAATTTGACGAAGAAGGAACGCATACAAAAAAAGAAAGAGAGAAAGGTAGCTGACCTGCATGGCTTGAAACGAGACGAGGTTGACATAGACGAGACGAGGTTGGCGTAGGAGAGACGAGGTTGATAGACGAGACGCGGTTGGAGACGAGACGAGATGGACCTGGACGAGACGAGGTGGACATAGACGAGACGAATGGCGGTTGAGGACGACTGGGCATGGGATGATCTCAGGGTCGTGGGTTGATCAATAATCGGGCGCCAATGTTGAGTTCGAAACAGGACAACTGACGACATATTATCCAGACATTACAACGGGAACAGGTAGGTTGGGGGAACGACATTTATTATAGACGACGAGACAAGAGACCAAGACGAACTAAACGACTACATTGAAGAGTGAGAAAAGAGAGAATGAGAGCAAGTCTGAACGGCAAGATGAAGGGCCTGGGTAGCTATGGCAAATATGGGCGCTCAAGTAGCTACCCAGGCCAACGGAACAAAAGGAGACAAAAGGTGAGTACGCAAGTGCATGCAGGCCAGCTAGAAAAGGTACGGGAGGAGGTACCTAACAATCGTATGAAAGGAAATCTCGACTGAAGTTTTTTTCTTTGCAGCAAGATAATGACAATCGCTTTTGTAGAGCCTCTTGGTAAGACATATCCAGTTTGTAGGCATTATAGTCGTTCTCGTACACATTTAACCTTAATGCCAGTTTTCTACAACTATATTGACCTGAAAAAGACGAAAATAGTATGGACCCGCTGGGGTGGGGGTCTGCAGCGAAGTGGGCGTTTGCAGCGAAGTGGGCGTTTGCAGCGAAGTGGGCGTTTGCAGCGAAGTGGGCGTTTGCAGCGAAGTGGGCGTTTGCAGCGAAGTGGGCGTTTGCAGCGAAGTGGGCGTTTGCAGCGAAGTGGGCGTTTGCAGCGAAGTGGGCGTTTGCAGCGAAGTGGGCGTTTGCAACGAAGTGGGCGTTTGCAGCGAAGTGGGCGTATGCAGCGAAGTGGGCGTTTGCAGCGAAGTGGGCGTTTGCAGCGAAGTGGGCGTTTGCAGCGAAGTGGGCGTCGACCCGCTGGGGTGGGCGTTTGCAGAGAAGTGGGCGTTACCCGCTGGGGTGGGCGTTACCCGCTGGGGTGGGCGTTACTCGCTGGGGTGGGCGTTACCCGCTGGGGTGGGCGTTACCCGCTGGGGTGGGCGTTACCCGCTGGGGTGGGCGTTACCCGCTGGGGTGGGCGTTTGCAGAGAAGTGGGCGTTACCCGCTGGGGTGGGCGTTACCCGCTGGGGTGGGCGTTACCCGCTGGGGTGGGCGTTACCCGCTGGGGTGGGCGTTACCCGCTGGGGTGGGCGTTACCCGCTGGGGTGGGCGTTACCCGCTGGGGTGGGCGTTACCCGCTGGGGTGGGCGTTACCCGCTGGGGTGGGCGTTACCCGCTGGGGTGGGCGTTACCCGCTGGGGTGGGCGTTTGCAGCGGACTTTACGGTATATGTGATGCGCTCAACGTGGGCGTCATGCGACGTTCGCTCGACGTTTGCTCGACATGATTTGCTAGAGCTCGCGTCGCTATAAATTTCGATCCGTACTGTGTGTGGTTCATTCTTGTCTGCTCGTTGTGTTTCACCTTCCGACCTCCCATTTCTCATCACTCATTTACTTTGATAAAGTGAATAAAAAGGGTGTTGGCCATGCTCATTTCCGGCTACTCAGGGCCCTCAGTCGCCGTCCCTCGGACATATCTAGACTCTCTTGGCTCTGCCAAGATCCTGCTCCGGTAGTCGACTGGTCTCTTGTATATACTTGGCTCCGCCAAGATTCTGCTCCGGCAGTGTCTACCCGGCCGACTCTGAATCTCTCTGTGTCTAGCCTCTCACTCTGCTGGCCAGCACTGCCCCGTACCGCAAGTTTCTGTGTGTTGTATTTAATGTCTGCACATGTGTGTATGTATGTCCATATTTGTGTGTGTGTGTGTGTGTGTGTGTGTGAGTGTGCGCGTGTGTGTGTCTGTATGTGTGTGTGTGCGTGTGCGCGTGTGTGTGTGTGTGTGTGTGCAGGTGCGCATACAGGTGTGTGTGTGTGTGTGTGTGCATGCATGCGTGCGTTTGTGTGTGTGTGAGTGCGTTTGTGTGTGTATGTGTGTATGTGTGTTTGTTTGTGTACATGTGTTTGCGTGTGTGTGTATGTGTGTGTGTTTGTATGGGTGTGTATGTTTGTGTGTGTGTGTGTGTGTGTGTGTGTGCGTTTGCGAGTGCGAGCACATGTGTGTGTGTGTGAATGTGTGTGTTTGTGTGTGTGTATGTGTGTTTGTGTGTTTGTGTGTGAGTGTGTTTGTGTGTGTGTGTGTGTGTGTGTGTGTGTGTATGTATGTATGTGTGTCTTGTGTGTGTGGGTGGGTGTCCCATATGGTGCAGTGGTATGTGCAGCGATTTCCAATCGATAAGTTGCGGGTTCGATTCCCGACGATTATGGTCACACACGTCTTTCTTCTCTTTCTCAGACTCTTCCTGACTTTTCTTTCATTCTCCTGCGGAGGTCTAGCCAGGATTTTATGCCAGCCGGCCAACGTTCTAGTTAAAATGCATCGTTCTGGGGGCTGCGCCCACAGACCCCCGCCATCAGTCACGTATCCACACAGACACACACACACACACACACCACTACAAATCTTTCATTGCAGCTTGCATGTCCTTTCGCTTCGTCCAATTATGGGCATTCATCAGGCAGTTGTGACAATGTGATTATAGGTAAATTAACAAAATATGAAAAGGAAGCAAACAGCTACATGAGCATGGATCATGTGTTCACCAAGGTCATGTCTGCATGCAGTGTACATTGGTCATCTGACAAGTCCCAGCCTAGTCACAGCCGTGTACACCACCAGAAGCAGTGAACCATGACCCAACCTGTTACATTTTACTGACGTACTCAAGTGCATACTCAAGTGCATTTGAGCTTGTGTGAAGAGCTAGCACTGAGCCTGATTAGCCAGTGCTACGTAGTGTACTGTACATACCTACGCCTAGGATATGGGTTGTACTGCACCATCTAGACTCAAGTGCTAGTGCAGTGCACTACAGTCTACATGGGGGTGACTGCAGCCGGCCAAAATTACCCTTGGAGCTGTCTCAGCCGGCAGGTCGCCCGGCTGAGCCGGCTTTGGCTAGATCACTGCTCCTGGGTGGTTACCAACAGCCAGTGCATGCCGGAGTATGTGGTGTGATGTGTGTGCGTGGAAAAAAATAAAAAAGACCAAAAAGTAGGGATTCACTGGCCAGAAAAAGCCACTTCATAGCTGTATGGTGTAGACCAGGCTGAATAGTGGCGGTCAATTCTTCAGGCTTGCAAGCTGTTGAATGGTGCAATCCCAGCACAAGCTGCTATGGCTTCTGCTGTAGCATCCTTATCATCGCCTCCGGCGATGGGCGTCCGATGGCCCAATGGTATGTCTGTCTGTGTCTGCGTCTGTGTGTTTGTGGGTGACCCCTCTGCTGCTGTTTTTTAGACTTGACGTTCGGTTGGCTCATCTCATAGTCTAGCTGACATAATCAGTGCTTTGAGAGAGAACATCTCCTCTCGCAGATAGAGTCCTCCTAAACCTGAGGTAAACCACAATGCAAAATTTGGGTCTGCAGGTGTGTGTGTGTGTGTGTGTGTGTGTGTGTGTGTGGTGATAATGCAGATTAATGGGTGCACGTAGCTTCGTGCTACCGCTCAAGCTATGCTGCTATGTTTGATAGTACTGTTGCTGTATACTCATGCTTTGCTACTGTCTACGGTCGCGTGCGCTGCACGTCACGGTGACCATGTCGGCCAAACAACATTGTGCATGCACGCGTGGTACCAGGCGCGTGCCCCGTATGGGTTCCTGGGTGCCCGGAACCCCCCTTTTTCGCTCAAAATGCAGGATTTTGCTTCATTTTTTGAAACTTTTCTGGGGGGAGGCCCCCGAACCCCCCCCCCCCCCTTGAACGGCACCGGCGCACGCGCCTGGGTACTCTAGGTGACGTGACACTCTACGTGTCATTAAATGTGACATTCAATGTGTTGGCGAAGTGCGACGTGGCATTCACCATGGCATTTGTATGTTGCGCTCAACATGGGCGTCATGTGACGTTCGCTCGACGCTTGTGGTGGCATAAACACAGTTTGAATTTCCCCGCCTGATTGCCACTCACAAAATACTGTTTGACTGAAGTTATTCTATTCGCTGAGTCGAGAGAGCTCTACAATTGTAGCTCTATCGTTACTGAATTAATTGTTACTGACATTGGACACAGAACAAGAAGGATTGGACTTCATCGTCATCAGACGCACCATTACAACAAAAACGTGAGACTCCTCGAGTGCAGTCAGCCCGCCAATAACATCATCGCCAAAGGATCAAGCATGCGCATCAAAACTGCCAGCACTGCACATCGCCATGGTAAATATGGCGATAGACAAAAAAGGAGAAAATTGACGTGAAACATTCAAACTGAGGTATTTTAGCATTCGCGAACGTTACGTAAGATCGAGTTCGCGTCGACAAAGTGAATAAAAGGGGTGTTGGTAACGCTCATTTCCGGGTAGTCACGG